TTGTCTGTGTGGTAATTTGGCCTATGTTGGTAATTTGAAATTTACAAGTGTGACTTCTGATCCAGGGGCCTATCAGTGGGAACAGAAAGAAGATGGGGAATGCTACTCATATTTTCAAGAAATAAAATAAAAGATGAAATGCTTTAATATAGGGTGTGATGACAATAACATTTTGGGATTTTATGGCTCAAAAATTCACAGCATTTAGCAAGTTGAAGAAAGTAGACATTAATTCACTTAGGAGTGAGAAGAGGTGACATATACAGACCTGGACACAATCAGTCGTTAAAACAGATATGAAACCATCAAGTCCATCAGGGAACATACAACTCAAGGTATAAATGCTGACAGTCCTCCTAAACTAGGTAGTAAAAGCCCAGTCAGGACCTTCCCTGTGTTGCCCAGTTCCAGGGAGCACCATTTGCACAGAGTAACACAAAGTGCATTGTGCTCCCTGGAGTGGCAGTATTGCCCAGTAGGGCAGCGAATTTGTGATATTAGACAAAAATATTATAATAAATGTTTCTAGTAGAGTGAGCTTTCTTTGTTTTGTTCTTCTCTTTGTTTCACACACACCTTTAAACATCATTTTAGTGTCCTCAGCTCTTTTTAATGCCTCAGTTCTTTCTAGGACTTACTGACACGATTCATACAGGTCCAAGCTGAGGTGTTCCTCCTTATTTGTATGTGATTTCTTCCTCTCCCTCTTCTCCTCCTCCTCCTTTGGTTTACATCTGAACATAACAAAGAATTCACTTTGTAGCCCCATTAGCCCCTATGTTTGCTACAAGAATCATGTGTAGTTGTATTATTAGAATGGGTTTTCCATCATTCTTAAGAGAAATTGCTTACTTCTTATCACTTTTCTTTAGTGCTTCCTTTTAATTCTATTTCATAAAATCTTAATGGTATGCATCGAGCCATACTTACATATTTTATGAAAAAATTAGGTCTACTTTGTATCACCCAGCTTCCCCGTGGTTCAACTGAGGTCTTAGTTATAACTAAGCATCTTCTTCCTATTACTTTCTCATGTGGTTTATGACACACCTCCATTCCAGTTCTGTTCTTTGTGTGTTATTACTGTGTACTGTACAATTTTGTCTAGGAATTTTACTCCATGCTCTGAACCTTCCTTTTAAAAGGTTTTTGATCCTCAATATCAGCTGATAGATTGTTTAACCTTGTCTGTCCCACCATTTGGCCTTGATTTACTTCCCACCTGGAGGTCTTTCTTCAATCAGTTCTGCCCACTGTCCTCCACCCCTTTCTTTAGACTGCTGCCTGCCAGTTTACTGGAAATTCCTTTTTGAGCCACAGGAACCACACCAGAGACTTAGAGTGGGGAATCCCTGACTCAACAAGTCAACAAGCAAAGTGGAAGGGAAATTCCTCAGTCAGAATCTGAAACTCAAAATCAGAATAATTTAGATAAATTTTCAGTTCTCTTACTGACTAGTTTTGTGATATGGAGCAAAACACACACTGCAGAAGCTCAGGTGTTTTATCTTTAAAATGGAAAACAAAATCTATGAAAACTGAGTTCAAGTCTTTGAACAATCATGTGAAGTAACATGAGAAAAAACTTTGTAATCTATACAGATAATAGGTTCTTATTTTTTGTTATTTCTTTGTTATTGTTATTTCTTTTCTTTTAACTTCAGTGGTGAGAGATATATTCCTGGTGCTCTTAATGGGAACTTGGAAGGCCACATATTACATGGAGGCCAGGGGCTACAAGATTATTAGCACAAAAATACTCAATCATTCAACAAATATTTATTGAGCCTCTACTATGCCCTAACCCCTAGTGATACAAAAGTGATTATGATAGTCTTTGAATAAATGTATAAGAACTTCAACACTTAGTTGTCACTTAAAAATGTCTAATAATGTGATTTTTATGCTTCAAAACATTTCTTTCAATTATACATGCATTTACTCACTCTTCACTTACAAAGATCATCCTATTGCTGACCTGTCTGCCATAGACTGGGGACCAATGATTAAACACAACCACATGCATCAGCCCTTTCAACTTGGCCTTATTTCCTATATACATGCTGTGCTTCAAATGTTCTTAAAATGGCACTTACCTTAAATTGACTGATTCCTACATATTCTTCAAAGTTCTAATTGGACCAGAGAGAGTACTTCTGTTTCATATGAGCTGAGTCAAAGCCACTGGCATGCATCAAACTCTGGCTTACTAATCTGGGCCTGCATTCTTAGACTGAGTACTCACTGAGAGAAACAATTGATGTTTATTTCACCCAGTGCATTCAGGACCATGTATATGTCTTGTAACAAAGACTGCTCTCAACAACTACAAAGAAGGAGATACCTCAACACTAATCACATCATTACTATACAAAGGGTACCCACAATGATGGAAGTGTGTGCTTACTGCTCTGGAAGCATGTAGTGATGCCTGACAACTTAGGTCCATGAGAGCTACCTCTTGAGTAGGAACCAAAGATTCAGCAGCAGCCTACCCACTGAGAAAAATGGTACCCACTGAGAAAAATTTATCCACTGTGTAAATGCTTGGATTGAGAAAGAACATTGTTATTTAGGGAATGGCAAGTGGTAGAGGGAGAACAGCGAAAAGTGAGTCACAGAAGTAGTGGCAAGATCAGATTGTAAAGAATTTTAGACTTTATCCCTAAGGGCAAAAGACTATCACTGATAGGTTCTAAGTAAGAGAAAGAAAGTTTCATAATCTATTTTAATTCTCACGAGACTTTGGGTCCACTATGAATTAAATAATTTTTCAATCATCAGTCATTTTTTGTCATATTTATATAAAACCATTATTCACTTAATATTTTAAATTTATATTTCATTATTTTATTCAAGTTACATTTATTTAAAGAGGAAGCTTTATAATATTCCTAATATAAAAAAACTACATCAATTTTCAGACATATAAACACATGTTTTTTAAAAAATTCATTTAAGTAGTAGATACTTAGAACATGATGAGTTTTCTAGAATACTCTTAGAGCCTGACTCATGCTTTGGAAAACAATAAATTAATTAGAGTGTGGTGGGCTAATTAAATTTGTTGCCCTGATATCTACACATAATGTAATTGTATTTGAAAATGCTTATTTTAGGAATTTTACAAATACAATTCTTTTAGTATATTTTATTGATTATGTTATTACAGTTGTTCCATTTCCCCCCTGTATTTCCCTCTACCCTGAATAGAGTAATCTTGGATGTAGGTCCTTGCCTTTTATGACTTAGAATACTTCTTTCCAGCCCCTTCTTGACTGTAAGGTTTATTTTGAGGAATCAACTGATAGTCTTAGGAAGCTCCTTTGTAGGTAACTGTCTTCTCTTGCTGCTTTTAAGATTCTCTCCTTGTTTTTAATCTTGGGTAATATAATTATGACGTGCCTTCATGTGTTTCGCCTTGGATTCAACTTCTTTGGGACTCTCTGAGCTTCCTGGACTTCCTGGAAGTTTATTTCCTTTGCCAGATTGAGGACATTTTATTTCATTATTTTTTCAAATAAGTTTTCAATTTCCCACTCTTCCTCTTATCCTTCTGACACATTATGATTCAGATGTTGGAATGTTTAAAGTTGTCCTGGAGGTTCCTAAGCTTCTCATTTTTTTGAATTCTTGTTTCTTCATTCTATTCTGGGTGAATGTTTATTTCTTCCTTTCACTCCACACTGTTAATATGAGTCCCAGTTTACTTCCCTTCACTCTTGGTTCCCTGTATATTTTCCTTTATTTTACTTAGCATAGTCTTCACTTCTTCCTCTGTTTTGCAACCATACTTAATCATTTCTGTGAGCATCCTGATTACCAGTGTTTTGAACTTTGCATCTGATAGGTTGGCGATCTGGTCACTTAGTTGTTTTTCTGGAGTTTGGATCTATTCCTTCATTTGGTCCATATTTCTTTGTCTCAGTGCACCTGTTACATAGTAAGGGGCAAAGCCTTAGGTATTCACCAGGGTGGGGCAGCTCACATTGCTGTGCTGTGGTGCAGTATGTTGAGGTGGGATCAGAGATGGAACAATGCCACTTGCTCAGTTCTCTGCCAGCTTTCAGTCACTTTTCCCAGTACTCGCAAGCAAATTGGGCCCTTCTGGTGCTGAGTCCCATATGGGTAGGTTTGTGTACATTCTAGGATCCTGTGGATCTCTCCAATGAACTCTCCTATGAAGCTGGGAGTTTCTCCTGATGCTGCAACCCCATAGGTTTTTATAGCCAGAGGCTTTGAGGATTTTCCCACTCTAGAACCTGAGTTGCATGGTATGTCTCCCCCTCCAGTTGTTTGTTCTGGTTTATCCACATGCAAATGTCAAACTTCAGGGTCTTCCAGCTGCCACCCTGCTCACATGGTCCACTAGCCACCTCCTTGCTACGTGTCCTCTCCATCTTGTCTACCTGTCTCCACCTCTCCTTCTAGTCTGGGTGAACATTTCTTTTTTAACTCCTTGGTTGTAAGACTTCCATACAGTTCAATTTTCTGGCAGTTCTGATTGTTTTTTTGTTTTTAAATTTGTTGTTGTCTTTCTTTTGTTTGTGTGAGGAGACAAAGTGTATCTACCTATGCCTCCCATCTTGTCCAGAAGTCACAAATACAATTTTTGAACAGAATCTTTTTATAGTTTGGTAGTATGATTGTTATGTCCTCATCTCAGGCTGACATTCTCCTTTCCCTCATTAAAATTTATGAAGTTTGCCCTGGCTGGTATAGCTCAGTGAATTGAGTGTGGGTCTGTGAACAAAAGCATTGCTGGTTCAATTCCCAGTTGGGGCACATGCCTGGGTTGCTGGCCAGGTCCCCAGTAGCCAGGCATGAGAGACAACCAAACATTGATGTTTCATTCCCTCTCTTTCTCCTTCCCTTCCCCCCCTCTCTAAAACATAAATAAAATCTTAAAAAATTTATGAAGTTTTTTGAAAAGTACAATTAATATAATGATAATTGTGTGATTAAAGAAAGTTACTTGATTTTCTTGTCTCTTGGATTAGAATGGAAGACTACTCTATGAAAAAAGAAGCAACCCAATGTCACTGAATGAAATTTATGACTTTCACCAGGGCATGTACACATGTGATTATAGTCAGTCGGATAATGAAAGTTCATGGATAGTCAGAGCTGTTGTTCAAGTGAAAACCATTGGTAAGTGAGATTTTATTTTCAAGACTATAGATTTGAACCCCAATAACCCAATTAAAGTTACCTTCCTGTGGCTTAGTAATTTTGTTTTGAAAAAAGAGAAGGTAGACATATGGTATAGTCATGTAAAGCATTGAATATGGCAAGCATCAGTTTTCCCATTAACTTAGATTCCATTCTCCAAGGAAGGCCTAGTTCTGGATCACATTCAAGTTGTCACAAGTTGGGTTTTCCATGCACTTATTTCTGGTTTGTTTTAATAATAAATTTAAAAACAATATTAATAATTCACACACAGAAATAAGTAACACGCATGTACCTATCACCAACTTTAATACTGTTAACATTTTTTCACATGCCTAAAAATCTCACTTTTTTTTAAGGAAATAAAGCATTACATATACAGCTTGAGGCCTATGATGTCATGTCTTTCCTCTCTCTCCCTTCCCATATGTAGTCCAGTTTTATAGTTTATACCTTTTCTGTTTATGCTTTCTTAAAATATGTATGTATCCATTAATAAAATAGAATTTTTTTATATTATAAAATGTGATTTGTGTTATAAACACATGGTATTATTCTAAAATATCACTTTGCCATTTACATCTTCATCAACAATGAATAGATTTCTATTATTCCTAAATAATATCCGGTGTCTTCAGACTTTTTTTTTGATTGGTGTAAAGTGGGGCCTTTTTTCTTTATATTTACATTTTCATGAATACTAATGAGGTTGAGTATGTTATCATATGTTTATTGGTCCCTTGGCTTTATTCTTCTGAGACTTATCTTGGGTTATTCTTACTAGATTTACAAGTGTCAGCATGAATAAACTATCATGTTATTAATTTAAGCATGTCCTATGTCAAAGCATATTTGAGTCAGTCATTCATGTTTTGTATTAAAAAGTTACAGAATGGTTGATTTATCTCTTAGAAATATATTAATCAATTTTACTGCCTCTCCTTTTATTGTGTGGTATAGTCCACATGGCCCATGTGGACTATTCCTGACCCTTGTACTCTTTACTGCTTTAGATCTTAGCAGTTTAAAAATTTATTAGATTGCTCCTTGCATAAAAAGATAGAATGCAAATACCCCACTTGTACCACTTATCCCCTCCTAGTGATGTATGATTATCCTTTTAGTCAGGCATGATGAATCAGCCCATCACATTTCCAGTGACAAAGTCTGCTTTTCTGTGTCCCAAAGGACTCCTTGCAATATCTGTTTTACCTCTTTCAATCAAGCCTTGTCTGTCATCATTTCTGTCTTCCTCATTCACTTGCTAATTATTTATTTTTTAATTCTCACACAAATATTTGTTAAATATCTCATATTTGTCAGGCACTGAGCTTGGTGCTAAGGGTGCATGAGTGAGAGTGAGTACCTGGACACTCCCTCTGATTCCCAGAATGTAGCATCTGTGGGGTGGACAGGAAAGGAACAGGTAATCATAATACAATGTGATTGGTGGAGAAAAAGTGGGGCCCATGGGGCCCACCAACCAAACCTGGGTATGCCAAGTCCAAGTGAGAATAGAGGGGTAAGAACAAATTATTTTCATGATGGTGGGAGAGATGCTGTTCCAAGCAGGGGAGCAGCATAGTTAATGCCCAGGAGAAGAGAGAGATTGTGGCACAGTCCAGAAAGAACATGGCTGGCTGAGGGTGAGTGCCTGTAAATAGGAGTATCATCACACTGTCCCAGTAAGTTTGAACTTTATCCAAGGGGCAATAGGGAGTCACTGAATTTTCTAAGAAGAAGGGTGTCATGAATAGATTTGCCATAGGCTATTGTCTACCATATAGAAAATGGGTTTTAGGGGCAAGAATGGAGACAGAATTAGGAGGCTACTGTGGTCAAGCAGGCAGTTATTGATGGTGGCCTAAGCTGGAAGTGGCAGTGAAGCTGGAAAGAAGTAGATGAAATCGAGAAATATTTAGAAGGTACATATAAAAGTATTTGGGAACTGGGAGAGAAGAGGGGAAAGGATGGTGATAGGGTGAAAGCTAGGTTTTAAGTTGGGCACCTGGATGGGCTTTCTGTAATTTACTGGTAGAGGATAGGATAGCATAGCGGAGCACAACATAGCATATATATGGTCCAATATAAGGCACAGGTGTGAGAGGAACAGGTTTGATTCATGTTTTTAAGTGATGTCTCTGGTTGCTCTTTGAACAGATTTAGCAGAGGTGATAAGAAATGGCATTCTGGTACATAAATAGAACATGATGATGAATTTTATCTGGAAGCTAAAAGAAAGAGGGAAATCAACAATGTTTTAGTTTTCTGGCCTGGAAAAGTTGGTAAATGGTGGCACAATTTGATGAGACAGAAAAGGCTGAAAAATAAGAAGCTCTGAGGAAGAAGTAGGTTTATAATTTTTTGTGTGGAAAAAATATAATTAATAAGTAATAATAGAAGAATAAACCCTATGTATATCATACTCACAACTATAAACCTACTTTTGCCTCACCCTGTATTACACCTGAAAGGACTTCCATTTATCTCAATCATGATAACAAGTAGGTATTTGAGTAACCAGTTTGGAGATGCTTGGCTGGAGAAGTGAATGTGAGAGTGGCCAACATACATGTAATATGCAAAGCAAAAGGCCTGAATGAGAATACCTAGGGAATGAGTATAGAAAGAAAAGAGTCCAGAGCTGAGGCCTAGTGCATTCCAATACTTGGACAGCTGTGGAGGAATCCCCTAAGGAGATGGAATAGGGGTATAAAAACAAAGAAAAACTGTCCTAGGCACAGTGACTGAAGTGTCTGAGGAAGGAAAGAATGGTATACTACTGCCTCAAATGGTGAGGACTGGGAACTGATCATTGGATCTGGAAAGGCAGAGGTCATTATTTACCTTAGCAGGTGGGTGTCTGTGGAAGGGTGAACAGGACAGCAGTAGAGGAAGTGAAATTGATGATGTAGGAGAGACATCATTTCAAGGACCAAGGCCTTCTGTATGGAAGACACCTAGAGAGTCAGCTGCACTACCCATGGAAAGAAGAACAAAAGAGCACTAGGAGAAACTTGGAAGAGAACTCATATCCACAAGAGGTGCAGAGGAGAGGAGCCCACTGCACAGAGACTGGGAGGTGAGCAGGAGAATACCAAAACAAGGACCTGAAAGAGGAGAGAGTTCCAAAGAGGGTGTGGCCAATGCTGTTTAGAATAAAGCAGATGAAAACTTCAGTTGTACCCAATGGATTTAGGTGCAAGGAGTTTTCTGGTAACTTTAGCCAAAGCAGTTTCAGTGGAGTGATAGAGGCAGAAATCAGATTCCTTGGGAGGTGAGGAAATAGAAGAAACAAGCATATAACACTCATTCAAGACTTTGGCTGAAACTGCCCTGGCTGGTATGGCTCAGTAGATTGATGCTAGCCTGTGAAGAAAAGGGTCACTGGTTTGATTTCCAGTCAGGGCAAATACCTGGGTTGTGGGCCAGGTCCCCAGTAGGGGCCGTGCGAGAGACAACCACGGGGCAATGTTTCTCTCCCTCTCTTTCTCCCTCTCTTCTCTTCTCTCTAAAAATAAATAAATAAAATCTTTTAAAAAAAGAATTTGGTTGAAACCTAGGAGAATGAGTGAGGTAGGGATGTGAGGTGCAGGATTTTATTCTTTTTTTAAGACATAGAGACTGAGCATGGGTAAATGCTGAGTGGGAAGGAGAGAGAGAACATTAAAGACACAGGACAGAGATATTGTAATTGAGAAAAGGAGGTCCTGAAGAATTAAGAGAGGACATCCAGAGTAAAGGTGATTGATTTTTCTGTATCAGGAGATGGAACTTATTCTAGAGAAAGTTTTACTATGGAGACACACTTGAAAGTGTGTGGCAGGTAGTTGAGAAATAAATGATTAATAAAGGGTTGGACTTACCTTTATTTTGAGACAAACCATGAATTTAAGAATGGAGGTGGTAGAGTCCAATCTGGCTGACTTGTGTATTTTCTCAGGTGGGTTCTCCTTTGTGTTAGGTTACTCAGCCCCAAAAAGCAATTCTGTAGGAAAAGATGGAGATGGAGGCTTAAATCTGCAATGGGAAAGCAGGAGTGGTGTGGAAGAAAATGTACCCAGGCAGATATGGATTTATCAAAAACTAATGTTTTGCCAGCATCTGCACAGTCATTTTGGAAGCCTGCTTTTTGCATAAAACCTGAGTTTCTATCCTTATGACATATGAATAAAATTTGAAGAGGCAGACCCAAAACATAGAGATCTAAGTGTGCCCATGCATGCACATTGTCAGCAAGCAGGCTTTCAGATTTCCCAGTGCAAATAATGATTTTCTTTTTCATGTTTTAGTAAAGGACACGACTCTCAAACCAGATATTCTAGAACCTGTCAAGGACATCCTGGAAGTAGAACTTGGTAAGGTGGGCTGAATTATCAAACTTGGAAGCAAGTCTGTGTGATATAAGAAAGAGAGAGTTAAATTCAAGCCACATAGAATTGGGCGTGAATCTTGACTCAGCCACTGATTAGTGTTGTGACCTTATAAGTCACTTACAGTAATCTTTCTAAGCCTCAGTTTTAAAATCTGTAAATAGGCAAAATAAAACTGACCTCACAAGGTTACAGTGAGAGATATAGGATAATATGTGTTAGGTGGCTGGTGCATTTGACATAGTCAATAGATTTTAGATTTGTTCTAATCTTCTTATTCCAGGAATAGATGATTACATATACTAAGTCCACAGGCTTGATTAGGTCTATAAATTTAACCAATTTACCAACTTGAGTATAATTAAGCTTTAAAAATATGGTGTTTGGTTTGGTCTTTAAGGTAATTATAGGATAATGCTATAATCCCCACTCAATTCATTTGTTTTTCAAAGTAGTGCCTTCTTTGGGTAGGAAGGCAAAATGGCTTTCCTATAGTCCCCTCTCATTTTGTCAACTTCAATAATATCTACATAGTACAAAACAGCCATATAAGAGCTGCATTATTAATAATCAAGTACTAGTTACTTCAATAAAATAAGTGTTCTTTTAAATGTGAAAATATTTATCACAGAAATGAGAAAATAGATATTATACTAAAGGACCGGTAGGTGTCGGTATCAGTATAACCTGATTATAGAATTAGCAAAATGGGCAACAATACAAGAATGGAAGTAGAAAAAAAGGGGAAAAATATTTAATTAAAAAATTAAAAAAGTTTCATATGATCTTAAGTTGCAAAGATGAATTTTCAAATAGAACCCCTAACCATTTCATGGTTAGAATATTAAGTTTGAGGCAGAGCATATCTAGATATCCCTTATGAGAAAATGGGGAGAAAGAGGGTAGTGTGATAAAATACATTCACATCCTTAGTCGATTGTCCAAAAAGCAACTGAATATCTAAATGATATCCTACATATTATTCTTCAAACTACATATTACAGTAAGCTCATGATTTTTTACTTAATATGCAAATATTGGTTAGAAAAATGTTTTTTATTGATACACTTGGTAATGCAACAATGGTGTTGGAAGACCGAGCTGGTTACTGAAACTTCATATTTTCTTGGTGTGTATTCTCAAACCATATTGAAACCCTTAGTGCTATGACCATACCAATCTTCATTTTAAGAACATATAGTTAATATGTCTGAGATCTAAGTATTGTCCGCTAGAGACTAACATACATGGTTTCATTTGTTTCTGAATGAGAGACAGGTAGACATTTGTTTATTATTTCTGGCACAACTATTTTACCTATAAACCTGTTGCAACAGGAAACAGTCTTCATGGCTTCCTTCTTCTTTTCTGTTGTCCCTTCATTTTTCAGGAAAGTCTTTGACTCTTTACTGCACAGCAAGATTTGGCTTCGAAAAGGACTTTAAACCTGTGATAAGATGGTACAGCAAAGATTCTGACCAGGAGCTAGAAATCCTGACAACTGAGGTGAGAAGGTAAGAAGGAAATTGGAGGACAATATTCTTTACAGCCCACAGTAAGTGCTTTCACCTTTGGAAACCTGCAAAATGTACACACAGAGATGAGCATACACACACATTTACACACAGTTGATGGTGTAGCTATGAGCAACAACTAGAGGTGAAAATGAAAGTATGAAAGTGCATGTTAATTTTAAATGTGGAGGACAAATTCAGTTTACAACAGGGACACACAATGAAATATTTAAGTTGCTATAAAGCTCAATTTGTAGCAACATTTTGATGTGGCTGCTGTAAACAACAAGCTAACAAGGAGACAGGCACACTGACCCAGGCTGCTTAAATAGAAGCATCATGTCCCACAAAAACAGGAGAATGCTGCCCACCATCCCCACTCTAACTCCCCATTTTCCCTAGTGCCATCCATTCAGAGTATCCAAATATGCAGAGTCATTAACAGTCCAGAAAGTATGAAATGAGGAAATGGTACAAGAATAAGGACAAAAATTATGTGGCCAAAATCTGGCCAAAAATTATGTGACATGAGAAATAGTTTAAGCAATACAACCTGGGAAAGGAAACTCAGTAGTGGTATATGTCTTGAAGTGTTTGGAAGCTGCTCTGTTTTGTGACTAAACTAGACTGTTTAGTTCTCGAGAGCACAGAACCCAGATTAGTGGCCAGAATTTAATGGGAAGACAATATGGCTCAATAGAATGGAAAATTCTAGCCATTCGGATCTATCCAACTCCTCACAAAGCTGGACTCTGGTTTTTGGAGGGTTAAAGGCTTGGATTCAATCTGTTAGGTCTGTTGCTAAAAAATATAGTTCCTCATCTTTGTAAGATCTTTTCCAAAGTAATAGTCTATGGATTAAGCATACTTCTGATTTTTAAAACATTTTAATAAACCAATATAATGTATTTTGCTAGAATACAACACTACAAAAAAGTAAAGAACAGATTTTGGAAACTGATAAAATTTATCAAAAACTTCTAAAACCAGGACCACTGGATCCTCTATTATATGGTATTGCATCACAGGTCAAAGTAATCGAGTTTCACAAAGAGAGTCTGTTCTGACTTCACACGGCCTTTGATGTGAAACTTTGTTTGCCACCTATTGGAAATGTGACCCCGTAAGTTTCCATCATGCCACTTACAATGCACCTTGCATTGTCTTTCTAAGGAGTGTATACAGTTGAGATGATATGCTTATCACAACTTTTAGTGGCTAAGAAGCGTTCTGTGGAAAAAAGTTCGTATTATGGGCTCCAAGCAATATAGACTAATGTGAATGCATTATTCACATAAACAATATTCCTTAACATGAGTACAGACTAGAGATCAACAACTTTAGAGAATCCAAACTATGAATAAATGACGTGGCCACCAACCAGACTGAGGAATGCTGCGGATGGCTCGTGGAGACATGAGAAAAACATACACAGAGACAACCAGGTCCTGTGGGGAAATAGAGATGGAACAGCCACTCTCTCTAGTGGGGAGCGCATGGCCACCCTCCCTAGGGAAGAGCGCCCCTAAGGGAGAGTGCCTTGTTCTCCCGCCTGAGCAGGCTTTTATTGGGTTTGTTTACATAAGAATTCAGGTAAAGCTCATTACTCATTGCCAGGAAGTAAGGATCAAACCATAGGTAACAAGGAAGTCTGAGGGCCTATTCTGAGTCAGGGTCAAAGAGCTGTAAAAAACTTTGAGGAACAAACTTCTTGCTTGGACCCTTATCATTCAATTGAGAGCATTCTAAACAAAGCAGGTTTCACAGGATTTTACATATTCTTTCTTAGTCCTGATTACCCGGGGAACCTGCCCTTTCTAGCACAGGGTGGCACCACCCTGTCATTGTTTCAGGCTTAGGTGGAGCAAGGGAACTAAGGCAACCAAGAGATTAGGAGATTTTTTTTGCAGACAATGAGGACTCAGGCTACGTCAAAGCCGAGGGGCAAGGGTCCATCACCCCCTTTTGCTGTAGCCCCCAAAGTCCTTCCTCAGGGGCCTCCCACGTGATCATGCCTGTCTGAGGTCATTCCCCACTTGGGGAATCTTACCCGTCATTGGCTAACCAACCAAGCATTGTGGGCCAGGCAGTGAAAAGTAAAAGGAGCAGAAGCGGTGCTCCTGCCAGGGAGATAAGCTTTTGTCTCCTTGTTGGCTTATGGTCCAAGGCCATTCCCTCAGCCTTAGCCTTGGTGGGGGTTACAGCTTCTGATACCAGGCAGGGTGGTTCCCAGCAAATAAATGCCCAGACTCTCACTTCCTGGATGGGGTAGAATGGCACAGGCTGAATAATCAGGCTGCTACATCCCAGTAGTGTGAACTAAGATTTACCTTCTGTGCCTGGTCTTCATTGCTAGCCAAGTTAAGATAATCATACCACTACTTTGTGGAATTTCTGTGAGGTGTGGAATGGAAAAGACCCAAATACCCCTCATTTTGTGCTCAGAAGACAGCCTGATACATAGTAAGACCTCTGTAGAAGTTAGTCACTTTTAATATTACTAAGTTATTGCTATAACCTGTTTTCAGGTGAAATTCTTAGAGCAAGAAAGGTCAGTTGAGTCTCATAAATAAATTATATCTTAGTGTTAGTGCTTAGATAATGTTTGCAGATTCAATTTTTTTTTAAATGAGCTCTTCCAACTGTATTATGTTCTTTTGGCATCTCCTACTGTGTGACCCTATGGCTCTTCAAAAAGCCAGACTGTTTGCTATTTACATAAGTTCTGAATACTGCAAATGGGTGTCACTTTATCTGCTGAACCAGTGTGGTAATTTTTCTTTCCTAGTGTTAAAGCCACTTTTGAGGATGAAATCATCAAATGTGTTGTCCACTTGAAAGAAGTTACTCAGAGTGATCTTCACAAGACATTCATTTGCTTTGCCCAGAATTCCATTGGGAACACTACCCAATCTATCCAACTGAAGGAAAAGAAAAAAGGTAAGCCTGGGACATTACTGCAGAATTCATACAACTGTTTTTATCTAAAGGGAGAATAATTTTCTTAAATAAAAGTGATGATGTTATCAAATAAAATTGGGAGTTTGGCTACTAACACCCAAAAGGCAAACTCTAGAGGCAGAGACTGGTGAGGAAGGAAAGAGGCTTTTATTCAAATGCTGGATGGTATGGGGACTCCCTGTTACAAAGCTCATCTCTTCTATAAAACCCAGACAAAACCCAACTTTCCTCAGCAAAATGAAAATAAAAGGCAGCCACCAGAGTTCCTGCTCCATTTTAAAGTACCATGCTTTGGAGCCTGAGCCAAGTGCTAAGTGGTCATCCAAGTAGCTTAGCTTGTTCCCAGCTGCTGTCCAGCTTCAGGATCTCTCCTGAAGGAGGCTGTGTGTGGAGCCAGAGTGGCCATGGCCATGCAGCTGCTAGGATTGAAAATTCCAAGCCTCCCAGGCCAGAGAGTACATGAATTCACCAGAGGATGCTCCATCAGGTTAGGAAGAGAGAGGCAGAGACAGAGACAGAGACAGAGACAGAGACAGAGACAGAGACAGAGACAGAGACAGAGACAGAGAGACTCCCTCTTGGAGGCCATGGGCCACATGACTGCTAAAACCACATGGAGAAGACAGGCTAGTACACCATCCAAGTATAAGTCTTGAATAGCAAGTGATAAGCAAGAGAGTGTTTATCTGTTCCCCTGGGTTTATATTAACCTTGGGTGTGGGATGGGTCAGGTGCTTTTTCAGAATGGCCAATTAACTTCTCAAAATTTTGTACATTTTGGGTAGATCCAGTTCCTATCCAATCCCTTCTTTCCCCAAGCTACACTGACAGGCCTCTTTAGTACAGCACTTATCCCTGCCACTATTTTAACTGCTATTGCACATGTACCTGCCTTACCCTAGTCCCACCCACGATGTGGTACTGAAAGAGGGTAGGAGGTTTGTTTCCTCTGTTCAATGATCTTGCTAGCCTTGTGCATGCTTAGTGTAAGAACCTTTCTCTGCCACCATTATGGCTATAAAGGACACTCCTGTGGCATTCTGTCAACTCCTTACATCCCATTCCTTACTCTCTGTATGAGGTAAGTTGCCCACACTGGGGCCCCCTGACAGAGAGCAACTAAACCAAAAACCTAAGTAAAATGACCCTGGAAACCCCACACGGCCTCTCAGGTAGTGCCGAGAGTGCCTTCAGTGAGAAGGGCAGGACATCTGTAGCCAGAAGCAAAACTTCTGCATGGGGGGCATAGGGAGCTGAATGTCCACAAGGTACATGCTTGGTTACCTGGGAAATGTAGCCTCATGCTTGTGGGACTTGGCGCTGTGCTTTGAAACTCAATGTCCTCACCATGACCGTAGGTAGTTCATGAAGGCCTTACTCAAACCTCTGACCTCTACCCCAGTCCCCAAGGAACAGGGCTTGGGGCACGAGCGGCTCCCAGGTCGCATTCCCATAGCCTAGCTCTATCTCCCACTGTGGTCCTTCCTGTTCTCTACCCTCAGCCCACTCCCAGAGATCTGGACTGGCTATCTATTGGTATCAGTGATTGTAGCAATTAATATTTATTATGGAAGACAATGTTCTATTCACTTTGCTGTATTAACTCATTTAATACCTTGGTCAAGGCCACACACAAGTTTCATATCAGTGATCTAGAGATGGTCCTCTTAATCCACATTTTGTGTATTGGGGTTATGTCAGAATAGCCTATCATTCATGCATTCATTCACTCATTCATTGTACAAATACCTATGCATACTCCATGTGATAGGTAATGTGCTTGGTCATAGGTCCCTTTCCTATTTTTATTTTCTGTCTTCCAAATACAGAAAGCATGATGATTAGGTACTGGAGAGTGAAGGTGTGAAAATGTAATTTTTCTCAGTGTCCAGAAGTATATATGTGTATCAAAGATCATAACTTTTTAAAGCAGGAGTGTATGTTCCTGGTAAGGAATAGATTCTAATTTGTTAAAGAGGATTCTCAGAGATGAAGTTGATATCATTCATTCATTCAACTGATAAATTATTTTAGAACAGATGATTGTGAATCTCATGAGGCAAATAAGAAAAAATTTACGCCTGGTCAAGAGTGGATTCTCTGTGAAGTTGTATTTCATGAGTCAGGTGTTGTGGAGGGTGCAAAAGTATGCTAGACATAGCTCCTGGACTCTGGAAGTTTAGACTTTAGTAGGGACAGTAATGGATGAAAATAATTTACAATATACAATGAGAGGGTTGCAAATGTGTTGTGTAGAAGTTTATGGGAAAAAAACACTTCCAGCAAGATGGAGGCATAGGTGGACGCACCGTACCTCCACGCACAACCAAGATTAGAACAACAACAATTTAGAGGTAGAATAACACCCAGAACTGATAGAGAATTTATCTGAATGGAAGTCGGACAGCCCAGAAGTTGAAGTAGACCTGTTCATCCAGACCGGTAGGAGGAGTGGAGACGAGCTCGGGTCACAGTGTGTGGAGTGCGGGGAGAGCTGGGTACCTAAGGCAACTGGAGCGAGTAAGCCATCCAGGGCGCACAGCAGGTGGACCCTGAGTACACAAGCAGCTACTGGCGGACCCAGTGAGGCTGCGATTGTGGACCAGGGCAGAGCGGGCAGCCCAGGATCCCAGGGAAGGGACTGAGATCCCAGGAGGGTGGGGCTGCTGCCATTGTTACCCTCCGCCCCCGCCCCTGCCCCCACAGACAACGTCACAACCTAGCAACTGGGGTGCCCAGCCCTGGTGAACACCTAAGGCTCTGCCCCTCACCTTAACGGGAGCGACCAGACCAGAAAAAAAAAGAGAGAGCGATGGCTCAAATAGAAGAACAAATCAGTGCCCCAGAACTCATCCTTTTGAGCTACCAAGAAATAGCTAACCTATCAGATGCACAGTTCAAAACACTGGTGATCAGGAAGTTCACGGAATTGGTTGATTTTGGGTGCAAATTAGATGAAAAAAAAATGCAGGTTACCGTAAAAGAGATGAAGGAAGATGCACGGAAAACCAACAGTGATAAGAAGGAAACTGGGACCCAAAACAATAGAGTGGACCAGAAGGAAGAAAAAAGAAACCAAACAGGAAATAATGAAGAAATAAGAATTCAAAAAAATGAGGAGAAGCTTAGGAACCTCCAGGACATCTTTAAACATTCCAACATCCGAATTATAGGGGTACCAGAAGGGGAAGAGGAAAAGCAACAGATTGAGCATGTATTTGAACAAATAATAAAGGAGAACTTCTCCATTCTGGCAAAGGAAATAGACTTCCAGGAAATACAGGAAGCTCAGAGAGCCCCAAAGAAGTTGGACCCAAGAAGAAACACACCAAGGCACATCATAATTACATTAGCCAAGGTAAAAATGAAGGAGAGAATCCTAGAAGCAGAAAGAGATAAGGGGATAGTAACCTACAAAGGAGTTCCCATCAAACTGTCAGCTGATTTCTCAAAAGGGACCTTACAGGAGAGAAGGTGCTGGAAAGAAATATTCCAAGTCATGAAAGACAAGGACCTATATCCCAGATTACTCTATCCAGCAAAGCTTTCATTTAGAATGGAAGGGCAGATAAACTGCTTCTCAGATAAGGTCAAGTTAAAGGAGTTCATCATCACCAAGCCCTTATTTTATGAAATGTTAAAGGGACTTATCTAAGAAAAGAAGATAAAGAAAAAACTTGTATAGTAAAAGGACAGCAAACTCACAATTATTAACAACCACTCCTAAAGCAAAACCAAAAGAAACTAAGCAAAGAACTAGAACAGGAACAGAATCATAGAAATGGAGATCACATGGAGGGTTAGCAACAGGGGAGTGGGAGGAGGAGAGAGGGGGAAAAGGTACAGAGAATAAGTAGCATAGATGGTAGGTAGAAAATAGACAGGGGGAGGGTAAGAATAGTATGGGAAATGTAGAAGCTAAAGAACTTGTAAGTATGACACATGGACATGAACTAAAGGGGGGAATGTGGGTGGGAGAGGGTGTACAGGGGGGAAAATGGGACAACTGTAATAGCAAAATCAATAAAATATTAAAAAAAATAAGACAAATAAAAAAAGAAGTTTATGGGAAAAATGAATAAAAATGGTTGTGATAAGTTTCCTAGGCCATGGCTAATCAGGAACTGCCCATTTCCCCAAGCTCTCTCCAGTTCATTGTAAGGCAGTTCCCTCAGGATGTGATTTAAAGCATTTTGCATTCAAGAGAAATGCTTCTGATAGCAGTGATATTGATAAAAATAATGGGACAGAAAGGGCTTTGGGTGGGCCCACAGCATTGGCCTGGATAAGGTCTTGCCACAGGATTGTGTTTCTGCATTTGCTCAAGGTTGCCATGTTTTCCCCAGTGGTGTTCCTGTACATCCTACTCGGCACCATCATGACTCTAGTAGGCATGTTAATGGCAACTGCTCTCCTCTTCATGTACTGGATTGAAATAGTGCTACTGTACCGAACCTACCAGAACAAGGATGAGACACTCAGGGGTAAGGTGATTCCAGCTTCGCTGTGACTTTTCCCCTCGGTACTGACTTAGACAGAGGAGCTCCAAAAATGGATAACCCCTGATGGATAAGGTCATGTTCCTCAGGCTTTGAGATTGCTTCCAGATCTGATGCTGTACACCTGCGAAGTCTGGGAGCAGGTAGAGAAAGTAAGTCTCTTTTTATTCCAGTTACCAGGAATCTCACAAATGATGCTATTATCAGACATGCTGAACTTCAAAATAATCTTGCTGCTAACCAACTTAAAGCAATATGGTAAATGACTTAACACCTCTGTGCCTTTGTGTCCCCTTCAATAAAATGGAATTGTAACCACAATTTCAGTCTCAATGAATGCTGTGAGTGCTCATGGGGTTAAGACATCTTAAATTTTTAGGACAGCATCTAGCATGTAGTGAGCACTCAGTACTATTATTATCTCATGAGTACCAAGGTCTTGCCAATCAAGTGTATTGGCTACTTGAATCGTCACAGCAATCCTATAAGCCAGAAAGAAAGACCTAAAGTCGTATGCCCCAACTTGAACAGCTGGGCTATGTTAGAGCTTGGGATTTGGACCCAAGCAGTTTGATTTATAGCCCCCATTAATTATTAACTTGGTCAGCCTTATCTGTAAAATGAGGGACTTGAAATTGATGGTCATATCCCCAAAATTGTGAAGATCTGTAAGATGCAAGTACCATACTATTAATGATGTAGATAGTTTTCCATGAGATAGGATAATGATGTTTGTTAACATTTGTTTCTTCAGAACAGAATAACTACTTCTGTGTTTTTCTAGTCCTAGAATCCCTGAGGTTAAGATGTTTGCAGTTTTAGCAAATAACTCTGTTGCTTGGAAAGAGAAGAAGCTCCTCTGCTGGACTCCAGAGCTAATTCCTTATCTGACAGGCCTCTCCATACAATGCTTCCACACAAGGAACTCAGTGAGAGCTGTCCTATCTCTGGGGAAATGGGAGTCAAGAAATATACCAATCACACCTTCTTTTAGATTAGGGGACTAAACCTTTTGGCATTTCTGGGCCACACTGGTAGAAGAGTTATTTTGGGCCAAATATTAAATACACAAACACTAATAAAAACAAAAAAATCTCATAATGTTTTAAGTAAATTTACAATTTTGTGTTGGACCACATTCATAGCCACCCAGGGCTGCATGCAGCCTGTGGGTCGTGGGTTGGACACTTCTGCTTTAGACCAATTATTGAGAATACATATTAGAAATCCTTAAGTCAAGAGTGTTCTTGAGATTTATTTATTTTTAAAGTTAGCTTTTTTTTTAAATTAAGCCAATTATCTAATCAATGTCTTAATCGTTTCCTTGGATAACTTCATACTTCTTTTACTAAAATGCTATTTATCTTAAGATTCTAGAGCTGGCACAGAAGAGTCAATCAACTGTGAATCATTTAAATATGCACTTTCTCCTTTTACTTTGCATGGACACTAGAATTCCGAAGGGAGCAGAACCCGGGTTTCAAGCACAATGATTCAGTGCCCTCTATGACCAATCTAATGTTATTCAGCAAAACAACTGCTTCCTTTGATACTGATGATGAATACACAAATCCTAGTTTGCAGGACTTTCCTATGGATATGAAAGGAATTGAGTCAACTATAGTGTGTTATATATTTACCCATGAGTGTCCTTCTTTCAATCTGTGTAACCAATAGCTTCCTAGCATAGACCCCTGGGCCTCCACTCCCTGGCACCTTCCTTTCTCAATTCCAGACCTCCTCCACTCTCCCTTCCTTTTCTATTTCTGGCCTCTACCACAAGGGCTCTTCTTAGGTCCATATTGAACAAGTGTAATTCTAAGCTACTACTACTGTTACAAAATAGTAGTAGCAGTCAGTGCTACTACTATTTTGTAACAATATTATTTTGCAGGCAGTGTGCAAAGTGCTGGAATATGAGCCAGGTGTGTCCAATTCTGAAGCCCATGAGTTAACTTTGGGGGTTTTCTACCACTTTCAAGAGTTCTTTAGCACGCTCCCATAATCAATGTTCATTTCTAATCATTTAGTAAATAGTATGAGACCAAAAAATATTCTGAAATAAGCTCTATAAATATAGAGTCCTATTTAGAAGGCAGGGTAAAGGATATTTATCTTGTGTCTGCTATGAGTCAGACCCCGAGCTTGTCATATATGTTATCTCAAGCAACCCTGAAAGTAGCCTACTGGGTAGTTATCATTGCTTCATTTCACACATGGCATGCAAGCAGAGGTATATGTGCCATCAGCTCTTTAATGTGCAGAGTGCTGAGTGTCAGCAGTGCTTTGCTCACTGGATATCACGCTTTGATGGAGTAAACTTTTCTTTGATGTGTAATGAATGAGAGAGCAACACTGCAGATGCAAGGAAAGCTCAGAGGAACCTCAAAGAGCTTGTGATTTATCACAGAAGGCCCCAGCTATTGGATCTTAGATCAGTGGAACTGCAGGAATTCTTCAGAATTTGATTCTAATTTTTGGGCAGACAATAAATTCCACTCAGCAGTATGATTCTGAAATGGACTCAGCTGCTGTTTTTAATTTTTTTAAATCAATTCAGTAATGATCCCAACTCTTAATTCTCATCCATTTATTATATGTTTCAAGCGTGCATAGATATACCATGATAGCAGAAAATCTGTAAATGGCTTAGATTTTTTTTTATCATTCCTCTCCTTCAGATAAAAAGGAATTTGATGCTTTCATCTCTTATGCGAAATGGAGCTCTTTTGAGAGTGAAACCACTTTATCTGTGAACGAGGAAAACTTGGCCCTGAATCTATTCCCTGAAGTTTTGGAAAACAAATATGGGTACACCTTGTGTTTGTTTGAAAGAGACGTGGCTCCAGGAGGAGGTAAGTCCTGCATGCCAGGAGCAAATATAAAACAAAAGGGCCAGTTAAACACAAGTACTCTCTAAGTTATCTTGTTACTCTTTCTGTTCGGATATATATTTCCTGTAAGGTTTCATGAACTTAGAACTTTTTGGGCAACAATACAGAAAAATATGTGTTGCACAGACCTGTACCATCACCTAAAAAATCCATCTTCAGAATAAAAGGTAATATCAGGCCATAGGGAGGTCTTTCCTGGTTCTTCAGCAGTAAGTCATCTGTCCTTCCAAACAGTGGCCCCTTTGCATTCTGGGACTTTGTCTGCAACAAATCTCAACACTGGATTAAGCAGGCTCCTTGAGCTTGGGCCCAGGCCTGGCCTTGCATCAGAAGTACAGACCTCATCCCCTCCTGATGACCTCTCATGCCTCTGATACCTCAGATACCCCACTTAGGAGCCTGAACATTCCATTGTCCTCTGTTTTCCCAGCCTACCTTGTTCCAACAAGCTTTGCTCCTAGAGGAATTGATAATTTGAGGACACAGAACATAAGGGAGAACTGTAAAATTGAGAGTCACTAGACATTAGTGTGTCTTCAACTACTGGTAAAGTTGATAAAGAGAATGTGCTATAGTCAACCATGTTTCTTTCCTCCTTCCATGAGTGTCTGTGGCAAGAAACCCTCTGGGCAGATCTGGGACAGTCAGGATTATTGTGACTCAAGGTTTAACAACAACAGTTGCAATTAATTTAATTCTTTATTTCCAGTGTATGCAGAAGACATTGTAAGCATTATTAAGAAAAGTAGAAGAGGAATATTTATCTTAAGCCCCAGCTATGTCAACGGACCCAGTGTCTTTGAACTACAAGCAGCAGTGAATCTTGCCTTGGATGATCAAACACTGAAACTCATTTTAATTAAGTTCTGTTCCTTCCAAGAGCCAGAGTCTCTACCTCATCTTGTGAGAAAAGCTCTCCGGGTTTTGCCCACAGTCACCTGGAGAGGCTTAAAATCAGTGCCTCCCAATTCTAGGTTCTGGACTCAAATGCGCTACCACATGCCTGTGAAAAACTCTAAGGGATTCACATGGAACTATCTCAGAATTATCTCAAGAATTTTTTTCACTGGTAAGACTCAGGAAAGCAGAAACCACTAGGAGGAGCTCCCAGCCCAGGGAATGGGGAGCTGGGCCCTAAACCACCTCCCTCCAGTCCTGGAGAGCAGAGATGTTGATGGATGGATAGAACATATAGCATGGATCTGGCTGATCTAAAATGGAAGGTGTTTGGCCAACCCTGAGTGAGTGCAACAGGCACTGGGATGACCCTGAAGCTGGTGTTAGGTCCTCTGATTTCCTAGACTGGACAGGCACTCTCGCACATTCATCATGTACCTCCCTAAGACTTTCTTAGTGGTCAACAGAATCAGCATATGCATTCACTTTTACTTTGTGGCTATAGACTATCATGTCTGCTATGAATTGTACATGTAAATTTATATATATTTGCAATAAAATAAATATTATTTTATTAGAAACGATTTATACTTTGTCAAAACTTTTTTGTAAAGAAGACAATTCTTACTCCATGTTCACCCATTAACTCTGGAGCACAGAAAAGAAGTAGGAAAGGCAGATACCAGGGAATGAGGAGCACAGAAGGCCACACTTAATCTTTACTATGTTCTTGTGGGAAGTGACACCTCTGGGCAGATGAATTGGAGGAAGGAAATGTTTCCATTGAGCTGATGCAGCCCTGTGCCAAGACACAAGTCTTAGGTAGTGGAGTAGGAATATTTTAAGCTTCTCCTTGTCCCCTGGGTTTTTATGCAGAACCTGAAGTACAAAACCTTGCTCTGGGCCAATTAAACTAGGGACCCTCTAGGCAAAAATGAGAACCAATGAAAGGCAGTGGCAAGAATTACCTGCCAAGATAAGAGACTGGGAAACAAGTTTGCACACTGGTTAAAAGACAGCAATAATGTAACTTTAACAGAGCTTCTGTCTGAGCCCTTTGCTGATTGAAGTTGATACTTCTTATATATGCTTCCTGAACTATGATCTCAGTTGAAGTTCTCTTAGGTAATGGATTATTTGCTGGAAGACCAAGTAGTTGTTCCTGATAGACAAGAATTTCATTCTCATAAATTTGTTTTCTTACTGAGGGTTCAAATAGTGTTCTAGTAACATATGAATATAAAATCTTTATGTTTTCTCATCCCTGATGGAATGGGATGATTCATCTGAGTGATAAAGAAAAGCAGCTTCTGGACTCATTCACATGTAATGTGTCACATCCACTGTATAAATGTGACCCAGGTTTGGAGTGGCTAAAATTCATTGTCATCTGGCCACTGATTGGAGCCTGTGTGAAATTTTCTGAAGTTCTTTTTTCACAGAGGAGCCCACATCATAAAAACCATTGTGGCTTTGGCACCAAGTAGCATCCTTGTTGGGAATACCAGTGATAAAGTTAAAGATGAGTTGAAGGGTATACATTATTCCTGCAGGAAGTTTCTTGTGGGAAGGCTCATTGTAGGGTCTCAGTGGGGAAAAACCCATACTGTCATTGTGACTTTGTGTTATGGGGAAGGCCAGAGTGCCTATTTTTCCTACCAAAAACTCTCTGGGATCTAAGACTCAGATACCTCTAATGGTTAGTCCATCTAGATTTATTTTATCCTAAAATAAATATTGGTCTAGAGTTCTGTTCTGAGCTTAACAGAAACCCAAACTGAGTCACTGGTTTGTATGTACACATACACACAAAGAATTATCTTGGTCTAACATTACAGAATACACTCTTTCCAAGTTAGTAGGTACACTGAAGATGACAAATTCAGGACAAAGGTTTATTTACATTTTTTACATGTAAATTAATCAATACAAAGTGGACAACCAAAACAAATTTTCTTTATATAGAATGATGGTAATTAAACATTTAAATTCAGTGAATACAACATGAAGGGAGTATTATTTTGCACAAGCCATTCCAAATAAGGTGGTGCTATTATCTGGTTCACACTTATTTTCCAAATATAATTTTCATAGACCAAGTGAATTTCTCACTCTGACCATATGTTCTAGTTTGGATGATAGTCACCCTACTTCTAACACAGAAAATACTCCTTACTGGCCCTGGATAGTATTTCACAGAAAGCAGATACCACAGTTCTCTTGGTCTTTCCTGAGCTTTAATGCCTATATTTACTATCTGTATTATTTTCAGGTCACAGTTGGAATAAGCATACACTACCTTAACTTTTCTACTCATTCTAGCTATAAAACCTAGAAAAATGCATAGAAAATCAGTGTCAGCATTATAAAAGTAAATAGAAGCAGGAAGATTGGAGAAGCCAAGAATTCAAAGTCACATAGTTTTAATTTTCTCCAATACTCCCTGGTTTAAACTCAGTGCAGTCTGAAACCCAGAAGTGAACATTAATGATAATAGAAAGAGTTCCAGAAGTTCTCTAATTCTGCATTGAAGGATGGGGAAAAAAGTTTCTTACCACTCCCACATTTTTTCCTCTCTCTTTTGCTTGCCAGCCCCTCTGCAATTCTTGATGGTGGTAGTTGTACCAGCAAAAACTCAAGAGCCTAAATCTGTGAGGAAGGCAAATTGTCCATTGTGATGAAAGGACCTGTGGCCCCAAATGAGTGTTACAAATTTCTAATATTTTTTCCCCTCTTTGTCCTCTTATCATTTGGCTGTGGAGATGGAAGAAGTTGTGGAAAGTGCACTTCATAGTGGGGTATATAAAATACCAATGTACTGGCCAGAATGGAAGTATAGGAAGCTTATGATTCCAGAAAGTACCATGGAGATTGCAGACAAAGGGGAGCTCAGGAAAGTAAACCAGTAATGTTGTTTCCAAACTCCCAAGCTCATCCCTCTATTGCATATGCATGAATCTAACATTAAATAGAATACCATAAGCTTTGAGGATAACACAGACTACTTCTTAAGTTCCAGGCTGGCTAAAGTAAGGTACATATATGGAGCCAGTCTAAGTAGAACGGAAAGATAGTGAAACAAGACTGATTTTGAAACCACAGGGCTAGTGAGAACCTGGGGCTTGAATCAACTGGGTCAATTGCCTGCTAAAATTTTTTAAAAAATAGCATTGGGAGAAAAAAAGGAGAAAACTGTATATGAACAATGATTAATAAAATAATAATAATAAAAAAATAAAAATAGCATTGGTCATAGTATGTCAACAAGATCCAGCATTGCATAACAAAATATTTAAAGTATTCAGAATACAACCTATTGAAAGCAAAAATTATAACATTTTTGTGATAAGATTCTCAATGTAGGTAGATGTGATATTAGTCAACTACAATACAAAGGAAGGAGTGTAAGGATATATATACCACTTGAAGTAGTGAAACACTAATTCTAAGTAGAAAGTGAAAACATATAATTATATTTGAATCCCTTGTGCAACCATTAAAACAAATAAAATATATTAATATAACATGATAGATAAATTAAAATGGAATAATACGAATGGTCAAATATCCCAAAAGTAGGAAAGAAAATGAAAATAAGGGAACAAAAAACTGAGAAATAAACAGAAATCAAATAATAAAGTGGTAGATTTAAATCCAAACATATCAACAATTATAGTAAATGTAACATGTATTAGTATAGTATTCAGAACACCAAGAGTATTAGAATAGATTTTAAAAAACTGACCCACCTAATCCCTCTACAATAACCACATTTCAAATATGATGATATAGGTAGGTTAAAGGAAAAGTTTACTTACAAATATATTATGTGAACATGAATTTAAAGGAAAGTTAGAGTACCTATGTTAACATCAGCTTAACCAAACTTTAGAGTAAAGAAAATTACCAGGGATGAATCACATGAAACAAACATTTGCCAAGAAGACATACAATCATAATTGTGTATGCACCAAACAGAGATTCAAACCACATAAAGAAAAAACTGACAGAACTAAAAGTAGAAATAGATAAGCCCACACTTGTAGATAGAAATGTTAATATTCTTCTCTCAGATACTGATAAAATTACTTAACAGAAATTCAGCAATGATTTAGATGAACTGAAAAATACTACTTAATTCTTAATTGTTGGGTCTACCAGATGATATAGAACATACTACCCAACAACAGAAGAATACACATAGGAAATTAAGAATTTTCTTACCAACATCCTAAGTCATAAAACAAATATTAACAAAATAAAATAATTATATGAAGTAGGTTCTCTATTTATAACATTTACAGTAGAAATTAATACAAGAAAGATGACAAAAAACCCCTCAAAATACTTGTAAACTAAAGAGCATATTACTAAGTAATCCCTGAGTAAAAGAGGGAGTCTTAAGGGAAATTAAATAATATTTTGAACTTAAAAAATACACCATATCAAAATTTGTGAGATGAGGTGTACAGGAGACCATTCTGTGTGGCATGGGCCCAGGTCCCACATGGAAGGCCAGTGGAAAGCAAGGTCCAATGCACAGGACACATGCCCATGGGTAGGTTCTCCTGTGGGGAATCAGGCCTGCATTGTACCTGGACTGCTATGAGATTTGCTTTTGCTAAAACTCCCTCACCCTGAATTGAGGCACAGGTACTTACTATAACTTCCTAAAGTCTGTGCTAAACCTCCCCAGTATGGAGTGTAACCGATTCAACCACTTCTGCCCTTGGTCTTCAACATCCTTCTCTTTGAAGTAGTTAGCATCATTCTTTCCTTTGTTTTCTGTAAAAGGTAACCACCTAAAAGTGAACCTGTGCATAGTAAATGAGGACCCTTCTGAATGTAATGTGCCCAGAAAAGCAATGAAAGCTTGTCAAGGGTAAGGGTCAGGGTGCTCTCCTCTTGAGAGAGTGACCATGCCATCCCCTTTCCTCCACAGGACTCAGTAGTCCGTGTGAATTTGTTATGTCTCATACCCAATGCCGTAGACACTGCTTGCCGGTGACTGCATCAGAAGTGAAAGTTATATGGGAAACTATATAATGTTAAGTGCTTATATTAGGAAATAAAAATATCTCAATAATCTAAACTCCCACTTTAGCAAGTAGAAATATAAAAATAATAAAGATAAGAGCAGAAACTGATTATGTTAAAAACAAGAAAATGATAGAGAATATTAACAGCAAAAGTTAGTTTTTCTAAAAGCAATAAAATTGATAAATAGTGTAGTAGTTTTCTTTAGCTATGCAGAAGCTTATATTCATTTCTTTATTTTTTGCTTAATGTATCCTTTCTTTTTTTATTACTGTTCTACTACAGTTGTCTCTGTTTTTGAACTACCACTCTGCCCTGCCCGACCTACCCCCACCTCCCACCCTCAAACCTTCCCTCCTTTGGCTTTGTCCATGGACCTTTTATACACGTTCCTTGACTTGATCCTCCCCCTTCTCCCCCATTATTCCCCACCCAAATCCCCTCTGGTTATTATCAGTTTGTTCTTTGTTTCCATGTCTCTGCTTCTA